CCAACCAGTTATTATCATGTTTATGATCACAAGGCAGATATTTCTTTTCTTCATAATATTCTTCTCTCAATTTTTCTTTTCGTATTTTCTTTCCTTCCTTCTCCTCTTCACAAACACTTGGTTTGGCCTGGGCTTCCACCCCTTATATATAACAGTGCCCATCGCTTATTTGCTAAAATGTTGTTTATTTGATGTATCAAACGTGAGTGCTGTTCAGGATATTATTCTTTATGGAGAAGGGGGGGGGGGGGGGCTAGAGGTGCAATTTTGACAAAATAATTTGATCAAATCCTCCCAAATCAAATACGTTTGTTTGTGGGAATTATTATCAAAGTGTGCCAAAGCGGCATTCTCGTGTCCAGCAGTGCAGAAATAAGCATAGTTGGACCCTACAGAATTGAAAAGTAAAAAAGAAGTCAAATTATATATTATGAAATGCGTATTGTGCATCTATGTTTTCTACTTTATCGAAGTGCTATTATGCTAAATGGCACATACCCATTTCTCTCTCTCTCTCTCTCTCTCTCTCTCTCTCTCTCTCTCTCTCTCTCTCTCTCTCTCTCTCACACACACACACACGCACACACACACACTTGTGTGCACTCGCACGATGTACAAAGAATACATGCTAATATTGTTTAGTACAGTCATGCAATTCTCGTGCATGCATTTACCTTAACATACTAAAGTCTATGATAATTGTTCCTTTTTCTCTGCTTATCATGACAATGTGTGTATCAGATATATATATATCTGTGATTACTTATGTACATGATGTGATATATGATAATACTTGACATAAATTTTCATGTATAAAACTGCTGTGTTTAAATGCCTTTTGTGAAGGCCCTTTGACTTTTAGGCTATTAAAAAGTTTAATACTCACCAATAATAAAAAAAAATACTAATGATGTGTGATAAATATGCTGTCCGTTAAGTTAATCAAACTTCAAAGGATCTCTACCATTTTTCAAAATTACAAGTTTTACTGCAGCATACATCTTTTCGCTATAAATTGCATTCTACCTTCACTATTGTTTGCTAGCTATTTGCGTGTCTTCTGTTCTTTGTTTTTCATATATGTCAGTTTTCGATTACCGGCATGCTGATTTGTTGTATAGAAGGAAGAGAATTGTATCTGTTATAATCCCTCTAACCGGCTTCGAATGACTAGTGGTCTTGCTCTGAGCTACTTGTTTTTTCACAAGTACAATGTACAAGGGAAGAGATTGAACTGAGCTTCCAATAATTCTTTGGTTTCAGAACAAAGGTGCTTGGGAAAAGGAAAATGTGGCTTCTGTGTATAATGCTCATCAACTGTTCCCTAATTTGGTGCTGGTGGATCTTGGTTGCAATGTTGGAGCTTTCACTTTACCCGCTGCCAAGCATGGTATAGAGGTTTGTCCAAGTTAATTTGCTCTCTCTGTTGGCTATCAGTTTTACAAAACAGCATTGCTGATTGAATTTTGAAAGGACTTTATTCCTTGTTCATATTTGAAAATTACTCATTAGTTTTGAAAGGATTTTGTCACTAAGTGACAGTGAAATACTGTATATCAATTACCATCACATGTATGTAGGACGCATGCATGGATAAGTGCAGGGAGACTTGAGAGCCAAGTTTTTGTATGAATGAATGATCATGGGATAACACACCAACATTGTCAATGCAACCTGCGCCTAAAGGGTGCCCTTTGTATTTTCAGAAAGCCAAACGGAAAATATCAGTGTTATTTTTAGTGTGGAAACTAGATAAAATAAAAGTACTAGTTTGACTTTTACTTACGCAGTGTAAAGTTACCTGGCGGTCTGGTGCGTCGGGTCTGTCAGGGGGCCCCCGTCCAACGTAGGTGTTGTCTCGTCATGGTCCTGAGTTCGACTCACTCTCCGTGAATCTGTCAGACGATCTCCCTATATTTCGCGCTAAGCTCTTGACGTCATCCAAGGGCATGCTACTCCCCTAATTATCTAGTTCCCACAGTAAAGACAAGAGTCATGTCCCTTGACATCACAACACAGTATGCCATCAAGAGGAATATGAATTGAGTCCTACAAATCGGAGTTACTGCTTGGAAATCAACAGCAAGAAAAAAGATGTATACATGCAATAGGTTTTTTGCCCCATTCCCACAGGTCCAAAGTATTGGCAATTTGAGAGCATTCAAAAAATTATCCTGAAATTCCTAAAGCTTATTTCTAGATCTAGTTTTCATAAAAAGTGGTGTAAGGATAGATTTTATATGTTATATTGGATACTTAAACATAATTTAACAAGATTTAGAAAAAAAATATTTGAAAAAAAAATGAGTTTCACTTTTAGCGCAATGCTGATCTGCCAAAAAAAAGTATTATTTGCTTTCTTTTTAAAATTCCATCTTCTTTGTGATTGTAAATGTGTTACAGAAGTAAAATACATGTAGTTTCTACAGGTACAAAACAGGTAACTATAGCGTTGTACATTTATTACATTTATTACCATGAAAATGGGGCTTAACTTATGGTATTTCGTTCATTACTAACTGCACATCATTTTCACTGCTGTGACATTAGTGATAGGCCTCACTTCCTGTTTGATAACTTAAAAACTGCGTCACGTACTAGATCTAGCAAAATGAACAACAAAGCATGGCTGTATGATAAATCATTGTACAGCGTGGTTTCTGCAGCTTCTGTGGGAAGAATATAAAAAAAAAAAGAAATCAATTGTGTCCTACCTGCAGGGCCTGCGAGATCCAACCTTGACGTAAGGGAGACCTGTTGCGACAGGTGAGGGATCTGGATTGATCGAGTTAAGTTTGAAGTTGCACAATGGTGACCAGCAATGGCATGTTTGTGAAATTGTTCTGTATCGGTGTAATTGTAACATTGTGTATTTATGTAGGTATTTTTATATGTATGTATTTCTTATTATATATTTATGTATCATGCATGTTTGCCATGTTTGATAAAATGTGATATATTTAATTGTAGTTATTTTATTCTTTTGTATTTATCAACTGCAGAACTATAATTTTTAAAAATGCTTTCTTGTTATTTACAGGTTGTTGCAGTGGATGCCGTGATGCCAAGCCTAAGGCTTTTGCAACGATCACTTCTGATAAATGATCTGTCATGTCCAGTCACGTTGATTCACAATGCACTTTACAAATCTCGCAAAAAGATGAGGGTTGTAATTGACCCAACTAATATTGGAGGTTCGCAGGTTGCAGAGATTCTAGACTTTCGTAAAGACAAGATTCCTCCCAGGTACATATACTCTTCTAAAAAAGTTAGGGAGTACTGTAAGACATGTCTGCATTTTTTGTATGACTTGTATAGATTTATTTTGTACCTTTAGAAATGATACCTGCTCTATATATTGAACTATCAACTCAAAAAAGTGTATTATAAACAAATTTCTAAAACATATTGTGCTTAAGTTGTAAATTTAACTAATAATCACAAAGCATTATTCCATGTTCCATCACTAAAGTAACTTGGGGTTGAGTTTGTTTCAAAACAGGACTTTTGAAGAGTTTATTATGCTCTCTCCTCACTTCTCCATTTTGTTTAAGCTGTATTTTACTCTTCTTTTTCGAAATGATTTCATTAGTAAGTTTTCAGAGAAGTGTAAAATTCAAACTGAGCTGTAACATTGAAATCATGAGTAGGGCCTGAAGGGGGATTGAAACTCTGAGTAAAGAGGGATTCGAATCATGAGTAAAGAGGGATTGAAACCATGAGTAAAGAGGGATTGAAACCATGAGTAAAGAGGGATTGAAACCATGAGTAAAGAGGGATTGAAACC